TGAGGTGGGCAGATCACAAGGTCAGGAGTTCGAGACCAGCCTGACCAACATGGTGAAACCCTGTCTCTACTAAAAATACAAAAATTAGCTGGACATGGTAGCACGCACCTGTAATCCCAGCTACTCACGAGGCTGAGGCAGGAGAATCGCTTGAACCCGGGAGGCAGAGTTTGCAGTAAGCCAAGATCACGCCACTGCACTCCAGTCTGGGCGACAGAGCGTGACTCCGTCCCCCCAAAAAACAAAAACAAAACAAAAAAATAAGCAAGAATAATAATAGTCCTCCTATGTCAAAGGAGTTCCTATCTCAAAGGAGTTCTAGTGAGAAACTAGATGTAAAGTGTTTGGCACAGGGCCTGGCCCATAGGTAAATGCTGGATCATCACATTACTACGATGGCCAAAGGCTCTGATCATGAGGGTACCATCAGATAGGAAAAAAGAACAAATGGCATTACACTGACGTTTGGGGATATTTAGAATGCAGTGTATGAAAAACTGGTAATCTACTTTGGTAGGCCAAGGCAGGCAGATCACCTGAGGTCAGGAGTTCAAGACCAGCCTGACCAATAGGGCGAAATTCCATCTCTACTAACAATACAAAAATTAGCTGGGTATGGTACTGGGCGCCTGTTATCCCAGCTACTTGGGAAGCTGAGGCAGGAGAATCACATGAACCCGGGAAGTGGAGGCTGCAGTGAGCCAACATCGCACACTGCACTCCAGCCTGCGTGACAGGGTGAGACACTGTCTCAAAAAAAAAAAAAAAAAAAAAAAAAGCCGGGCGCAGTGGCTCAAGCCTGTAATCCCAGCACTTTGGGAGGCCGAGACGGGCGGATCACGAGGTCAGGAGATCGAGACCATCCTGGCGAACACGGTGAAACCCCGTCTCTACTAAAAAATACAAAAAAAAACTAGCCGGGCGAGGTGGCAGACGTCTGTAGTCCCAGCTACTTGGGAGACTGAGGCAGGAGAATGGCGTGAACCCAGGAGGCGGAGCTTGCAGTGAGCTGAGATCCAGCCACTGCACTCCAGCCTGGGCGACAGAGCAAGACTCTGTCTCCAAAAAAAAAAAGAAAGAAAAAAGAAAAAAAATCAGTAATCAATATTATGACAAGATCATGCAAAGCCTATGGTCACCATTACAATAACAATAGTCATAACCTTACATTTATGGGATACCTTACTATAGGCCAGGCACTGTGCTATGCAGTTTATATTTAGTTTCACATTTTATTCCCATTTTACAGGTGAGGAATTGAGAGCCAGCATGTTTATATAATTTGTTCATGATTACAAAGCCAGTAACTGGCAAAATGGAGATTTAAATCCAGGCAATCTGCTGTCAAAGCTTGCCTCTGACAGAAATTATCAACCTGAACCTGGGTAAGTCACCTCACATGTTGGGACTTTGATTTTACCCTCTGTAAAATGAGCAGAGTAGTCTAGAATGGGTGCTCTCAAAAGTCCCTCCTAATGTTTTCTTGACAGCAATGCTATTTAAACCCAAATTTACAACATAATATCTCAGCTCTAGTCCTTTTATTAAATTGGTGCATAAGTAATTGTGGGTTTTGCCATTACTTTTATGGCAAAAGAGTAATGGCAAAACCCTCAATTACTTACGCGCCAAACTCATACATACCTAGGCTTTCTTGTCTTATAGAAATATAGAAAGACTCATATATATAATTCCCTTCAGTGGAGTGCCTCACTGTTCCTGAGCTCTGTTGCTGAGAGGTGCATCACCAAAATGCATCGGCCTAATAGAAAACTTCACTAACCCTTTGAATGGAATCCAAAGAGAATCTTACTTAAAATGAATTCTACCAGACAGCACCTGCACTACATGGACATTAAGGACACATACAACAAACTTAGCTAGAACTGTAGGACTTGAGTTCAGTCACTCTACCTCTCATGATCTCAGTTTCCCTATTTAGAGAAATGAAGTGACTTTTAGATAAAAGTAATCCCTAAGAAAGCAGCCACCAAAACCCAGGGAAACAAATCAACTTTATTAGAATAAAAAAGTATTATAGTTTGTAAAACAACATTCAAATACAGTGATTGCTAGGCCAGGCATGGTGGCTCATGCCTGTAATCCCAGCACTTTGGGACGCCAAGGCAGGTGGATCACCTAAGGTCAGGAGTTCAAGACCAGCTTGGCCAACATGGTGAAACCCGTCTCTACTAAAAATATAAAAAATTAGCCGGGCGTGGTGGTGGACGCCTTTAATCCCGGCTACTTGGGAGGCTGTGGCAGGAGAATTGCTTGAACTGGGGAGGCGGAGGTTGCAGTGAGCCAAGATCATGCCACTGCACTCCAGCCTGGGCAACAAAAGTGAAACTTTGTCTCAAAAAAAAAAAAACAGTGATAGTGATTGCTTTTACAATATAAACCATGTAAGTAAAGCTACTCAAAATCTATTGTGTTGGTAGAAACTCGCAAAAAAGAAGCAGTGCAGGGTAGAATGGGTTTCTTTAAAAATTTTAACATACATTAGAGTAGATCACTGTAGAAAGACTCTTTTATTAATAGCTCAAAAAGTCTGTTAAATAAAAAATAAAGTTGGTATTCTATAAACTCTGATTTAAATAAAATCACATTTGCCAGAGTAAATATTTTGAAAAAGACATCAGAACCACTTATTTTCTGCCTTATTTAGAAAAACTATTTCAACAATGCACATACACAAAATTCTGCACACAAGACTCAGGTGTTCTTTGTTTCTAAGACAAACTTGGTACAGTTATCAACAGAAACCAAGTCTAATATTCCAGCCAAAGCACAACCAGCTTCCTCCTCTGATCCTAAAATTGCTTCAACACCCTAAGCTCTGTTTTATGAAAAAGAAATGAGACATAATGTATATGTAATTCTTCCTGAGGCCAAATAAATAATGCTCAATTTTCAATAAAATCTGTCCTCCTACAAATTTTTTGGCCATTTTTGCCTATCTAATAGCATCACCAGGGATGGAAAGATGAGACTCAACTCAATCCAGTCCATTTGGCTCTTACTAGCATCATTGGTGAATGGTTTGCTGAGTAACAAATGGCAATCCCTATACTACTCGTCAATATCAGGTTTGAGGAAACTATGTAGATTTAATCTCTCGCTAATCCCCATGCCAGGAGATAATTCACCAACAGCTAGTTGTATTCAGAGTCAACTCCTAGAAAAAGATAACAAGATCTGTCTACATTATCAGCTCCCGAAACTCCCTGTAAGATTTTAGGTTATCCTCCAGGACTGAACTCAGGTAGGGAGCATGAGAATAAAGAGAGGGAATGTTAGAAAAAGAAGGCCTCTCCTACCAAATGCAGCCTCCCTGCCCTACCCCCTCCAAAAATAAGCACATAAATTCCAGAAAGCAAATTCCTCCTTTTGTCTATGAAACGAATCCCATCTTGCAAAATATCTTCATTTTATTAAAATAAACAAACTTTAGAATGGGAAGAAATACAACTTAATATTAAAATCTTCCATTCCTGAAGGATCGTTGTGAAAATCCCTTGTGAAGATCCTCTCTTGTTAAAAACTCTCATATACACAATTTAGAGGTTTCAGGGACTCCCTTGAACTGTCAAAGTTAAAAATTACTATTCTAACCTAGAGAGTCATGTTCTTCTCAATAACCTCATCTCTTCCTTCATGAATGGGAGCCACTCCAAACATCTGCAATGTAAAGAGATGAAGGCTGCAACTGCACCTGACACTATACCTCTGTCAAACTGTCAGTTCTACCAAGCACTCCTCAAAGGATTTCTGCTTCATTTCCTTGACCATCCAAATTGGGTCTTGATGGAGGCCTTCCCCTCTCCCCTTTTTATTTAACTGAGCCTAGAAGCTTATAACCAAATCAACTTATACCTGAAGGATAAGCGTTTGCCTGGGAGCAAAAGCTGCCCGTGAACATACACCCGTACTACACCTTTCCAACCCAAGATGCCCAGGACGCTGCCAACTGCGATGGCTGTGGACTAGATCAGACAGCAAGAACAGAAACAAGGACACTCTTCATTTCAACCTTTTTGTCTGGGGCACTTCCTGAGTTTTTCATTGGCATTTAACACCAAGACACAAGACTCATTTTTCATTAAAGTTGCAAGACTTTCACTTTGCCCAGTTTCAAATGATGTAATTGATCTGTATTGTCTTCTTAACCCAACTGGTGAAGGACACTGCAGCTTTAAATATTTCAGTGCTAGCTAGCAAATAGACTCCATTGCAATATGGCTCTGAAGGTCACGTCCTATTGTCTCTTACCTCTTGCAAAAAAAAAAAAAAAAAATCCTTCTTCTAGGTAACATGGAAAGGGTTGCCCTTAGAATTTCCACTCTTCCACCTTCTTGCCTTACACAGTTGTGAGTGTTGATTGGAATCTCACACTCATAATTTTCCCAGCAGGGGCAATATGCTGATTGTTATTAATGATTCTAGCACCTTAGCGAGACATAAACACATGTGTTCACATTAGTTCAATTGAGCATATGCAACCGTCTGAAATAGCACCACTCAAGGGTTGTTAACCTCTTTAAGAGTAAAGCCAGGGTGGTTTGGGTGTGGACAGCTTGCAGGCGGCACCCTGAGCCCAGGATTGCATAACCTGAAATGTGTAGCTACTCAAAATGATAGGAATCTCAGCCTACTCATCCTGGGACTATGCCGGCACCCTGCCACACACTTGCAGCTTTACTTGTCAAAGGAAGTCAAAATAAGAGGTACAAACACCATGAAGGAAAAAATAAACTAAAAGAAAACGGCTTCTTCTACCCTGAAGGGACGAATACGATTCCTCCAGCAATCGCAACGTTCTCCCAACCTCATCTTCCGAGAATGGAACAGCCCTAAAGAACTGGAGGCTTCGGAAGGAGAAAGAGGAGCCGGACATTGCTGCTCTTTTTAAATAAAAGCGGGTAGATGATTAAAAGTCAGAGAAGGGGCAAAAGAAGCGGGGCAGGGGGAAGGAGTGTGCAGGTGCATCAGAGCATTACCTGAAATGGCAACAGATTGTTACCATTATCGGTCCGGAAAGCGTTATCCTCCATCCAGGACTTAGAAGTGAGCGGGGCCGCGCGAGGGAACTTGGGCGGCGCGATCACGTTGCTGGAGAAGGGTTTTTTGAGTGGCGAGATGGGGTTGAGCGGGGAAGGCACCCCGACACCCACACCCACGCCCACACCGACCG